ATTTATTAAACATGCTAGAGAATATTTTTTTTAGGGTTTTAATTTTTATTATAGACTTTAAAGTTATTTTTTTTGGAATATTATTTTTATTTATTTTAAGAATCTTGACAATATTGACATTGATGAGTAAAACTTTGAAGGAAAAAATTATTTTTTTATTTTTACTATATAATATTATATAATTATAATTATAAATATAATTATTTTTACTATATCAATTCTAAATTTTAGTAAAAATATATTTTTAATTTTTAGTTTTATTTAGCTTAATTGAGCCAATCCCTTGTAAAATGTATTACTAATTATTATTTTTATTAATAAAATTTTTCATTTATTTATTATTATGATAGGTTCAAATGTCAAGCACCTTATAGCTTCAATTCAGTACAATTATTAAGCAAATACTTTTTTAGGAATTATTTTTTTATTATATTTTATATTATTAATTTTCGAAAATATTTTGAGACACGCACAGCACTCGCAGTTGAACTAGGCAAGTGTATTAAATGTAATTTAACTGTACTTCTACTTTTTTGGCATTGTTGCCTGGTAATTGCAGCAGGTGCTCTGCTCAGCCAATTGCCAGATATTCTGTATGGGAGTAGAAAAAGTTAGTTAATAGCCGGCGCACGGGAGCGCCAATTGCTGCTCGCAGCTCGTTATGGACAGCAGAAAAAATAGAAAGAAAAAATGGATATATAAAGGTGGCTCGATTGCATGCAAGCGCCTTTGGTCGGGGCAATTAGAAGTTTGTTGGCCTGCGAAAATCACATAGAAAGGCAGCAACAGCAGTGAAAACAATAAAAGCAAACATAACAAATTGTTGTAATAATAGTCGTAAAAAAGTAAAAAGAAAAAAAGTTATGTTTGTTTCTTTTTGCTTGAACAACAAATCATTTCACATTTCCACTTGGGCTCAACTCTGGCTTAGACGCCGTCTGCGGGCCGGGTTCATTAAACCGTCGCCAGCTAAGCCGCCTGGTGTGGCCAGCTCTAGCAGCTAAAATGGACCGCAAAGTTCTACAGCTTTGGCTTCCGTTCTCAGCTGCGGCACTGTCACCAACAGCAGCTGCATGTGCGCTTACATAACACACCCCCCGCCCCCTGCCACGCCTCCTCTGCCTAGCTCAGCCGAGCGTGTCGCGATCTCAGGTGTCATAGGCTTTGGCTTTTTGTGGGTTTTTCTCGCCCATCTCTCAATTTGTCGCCCATTGTGGCATAATTGTATTGCAATCGTCGCGCAGCCCTTTCTCTGGGCCCATCCATCTGTCTTAGCCCTAGAGCTGCGTGCGTGTGTATCTGGAAATCTGTTTGCTTAGCCGCGCTTTGTGCCGGCTCATGTTGGCCTCAGCTTGTTGTTCTGGCCAGGTAGCGAGGAAGTCATCTGCATGAGCTCAGCAACAATCGCACACAGTCTGTGGCTTCATCTATGGGATTTGCGGGCAAACATGTAGCGGAAAATCAGCAGTCACAGAGATAGAGAGAGGGAGTGAGAAGGGGCGAACATCATAGCGAGATAGACAGCTAGAGAGTCTAAGAGGCAGGCGCCCAGTGAAGTTGACAAATCCTGTGCAACGTTTTGGCCACACGTTGCGGCATTGGTTCCCACACTGTGCCCACTGCTGCTGCCTGGCAATTTGTCAGAATAATTTCTATTAAAAATTAAATATAATTAAAGTATTTCTCATACTGGGTGTAATCGTCGTGTGACAGGCATGTGCATGCAATTCACTTAGCTATATAGAAATATATCTGAGTTCGCTTAGGCGCATCTTAGAGATCTAGCATCATGTGCTATGTAGAACTGCATTATGTTTGATCGATAAATATCGACATCTAACTTAACTTAACTAACATCTAACTACATAACTTATCTGTTTTGAAAAATATGATTAGTACATATTGATTGATTGTTATCGATTGTTATCGACTGTAGTCCTACTATCAGAAATTCTGATCTTTATGACTAGCACAATCACTATACCATAATCTTTAATGTCTGTGCTCGATTTGGTCTGGCTTTAAGAAAACATCGATTTTTCATATACTCAGTTCGATTCTTTAGTCTTGCCTTCTCTGCTCTTTAGCTCTCTTCTCATCGCTGACCTTCCGTTCCCATCGCTTCTCTTCTTCTTCTCTTCTCTTTTTATCTAACACTTCTCTTCTCTTCTCTTCTCTTTACTTCTTTACACTATGCTCATCTTGTTTTTTAACGCTTCTCCTCTTCCCATATTTAACTACAGCTCGCCAAGACATGGTATCTTTTAGTCGGTCAACGCGAGACTCTAACATGTTTATTAATACATAAATCTTTGGCAGATTTCAACTTGTCCATAAAATAATTTTCTCACCGAAACACACCTAGTTTAGGCGCTAGTCGGAGCCGAAGTAACGGCAAAGCGCATTTAGAACGAAACCGAACAACAGAGGAAAAAACAACATCAACAACAACTGACAACAACAACAACAGCTGACAACAAGTGCCCCCTCGGGCTGTGAAAATGTGTTGTGTAGGGGATAGGTGGGGAGTTTCAATTAAGGCGTCTACCTGGCCGTTAAGCGGGACCAGGTAATGCACAAGTCTTGAACTCTTTTGGGTGGGTCACTTCCAGCCTTGGCTGGAGGCGCTGCGCTTGGCTGCCTCTCATATGCAGAGGCCACAAACAACAATTGTTGCTAAGCATAAAATGTTTAATTCTTGGGAACACACAGCCACAGCCACAGCCACAGACGTATTACCCCAGCCCAGCTGCCCAAACCTCATCTGCAACTCTCTGTTGGTTCGGCTTCAGCGCGCTTTGGCGCTCGAATTCCATGTAAATATGCGAGTTGCATTCAACAAAACAGGTGAAATATGCTTGGGGGCGGGGAAAGATTTAACAAGAACTTGTTGTACTTAAAATATGAAACTTTCCTAAATACTATGCTAAAGCATGGCTAAAGTCTTCTTTACCTGGCCTAATGGGTGGCAACAAGATGAAGCAAGCTGTTGTTGTTGTTGCTGTTTCTACTTCTCATGATCATGCAAATGTTTTGCTATTGCCTGCATTGAAAGCAGTTTGGAGTCTAGTTTTCTTTTAAATTATGCAGAATGATTTTATAAAATATAAAAAAAATTTTAAAAAAAGAAATGTTACGAACATAAGCGCATGATATATATATTTTATTTATCTGATGTAGTTATTTAGAAAAAGTAGTTAATGATCAAGGAGACAAGGAGATTCAATATTAAGTTCGTATACTCAGCTCTACTTAGGAGTTAGCTTAAAAGTGCTTAAAGTGATAGAAAAAGTCAGCCTGAGCTTATTAAATGCATAAATACATACGAGGTCGGTTCAAGAAGTATGCCGAAATTATATATTTATTTATGAACATTTATTTTGTCAGCTTTATAGTAATCCCCACCAGACACTTGCACCTAAGCAGTTCTAGCAATTATTCAGTACAAAAATCTTGCTCAGCTGCTACTGCAATGCCATCGGCATCTTCTTAATCTTAACGAAGTCCTTCGATCTGCCTTTTCAGTTTTGGGTATAAGAAAAATTGGCAAGGGGCCAGAGGCCAGATAAGAGAAATGCGTTAAGTGCGACATCATTGAATTGTTTGGGCTGTACCGATGCATGTCTGTACAGGCTGACTATAGTTAATGCTTTTAGAGAGAGAGAGAGAGAGAGAGAGAGAGGGAAAAAGGAAAAGAGACAGAGAGAGATAGAGGGATATATATACAGAGAGAGTGACAGACCAAGATAGAGAGATAGATAGATAGATGTCTGTACAGGCTGATTATATTTAATGCTTTTAGAGAGAAAGAGAGAGAGAAAGAGGAAGAGATAAATAGATAGATAGAGGGATATATATACAGAGGCACAGACAAAAATAGAGAGATAGATAGATAGATAAAGAGAGAGAGAGAGAGGGCTTCGAGGAACTCTATAGCTTTATATCTTAGATTTTGGTGAATCTTAAAATATATACGAGTAAATGAAAATTGAAGAAAAAAACTATTAAATTCTATTTTTTATAATTAGCTTCAAATGTAGAAAATTGAGCGAGTAAAATTCACATAAGATAATTTTTTGTAATTGAAGTTTCAATGTGTTCTGCATAATCAGCAAATGCTTCTTTCAGTTTAAGTTTTTTTGTATTTCTGCTCTTGATTAGGCCTGATGAGCAGCAAATTGTGATTTATGATAGATAGACACAGTAGAGTAACATATTTAAGCCTTGGAAATGGCCAATTCGCATAGCTTAAGGCAGAGAGAGACAGAGAAGAGAATGCAGCTGAGTAGAGGGTGTCTCTTAGTCAGGCACTTGCTGTTAGACTTACATAAGAATTCATTGATCCATTGAAGAAAGTGGCAGCTGCAGTTCAATCAGGCTATATCAACTGATAATGATCTCTGGTATAAACAAGCCCAGTTCATACCAATCTCCCTCGTACCGGAGTGCGGCTTAGGTATTTGCACATGAAATATGTCCAATGGGTTAAATGCATTATTTAGCATTATTTATGGCTGGCTACACATTTGAATAGCTGTTGAAAATGTGAAAAGTTTTCAGCTCCTTTGATAGTTGTTAAGGTTTTCTTTCTGTTTTTTTTTTTTTTAGTGGCTCATTGTCTGCGCCTTGTTTTCCTAGTTGTCATTTGAGCAGTGGAAAAACTCCCACAGCTGCAATCAAAGATATGATACGATATGTTGGCTATATACATACATATATGTATGTATTTGCTGAACAATTGCTGCGACTCGTTAGCTTGTGTGTGCGTAAGGCCTTAAGTTATGATAAATTATGTGGCCACGCCCCCGTTGGTGAAAGTGGCAATTGTTGTGCCTAAGCGAATTCTTACCCAGACAGATTTCCTATTTATTAACAATTGTATACACACACACACACACACACACACACACACACATGTGTATATATATTTATTAATGTTTTCTTTCTGTTTACAGCAGCAACAACGCACAGATTCGCGCTTGAGCCAGAGTTCAGTTTGGCAGTTTGCCCACGCCATGTCCATGGAGCCGAAGTTGTTGTAAGACGCAGTTGCTCTCGATTCTCATTCACATTTGTAAAAAATCACGCGCATTCGAGCATATCATATTAATCAGTTAGTTAGTTGCATAGCCAGTAATTAGAGCCGGCCTCGTCGACAGGAAACAGCTGCTGCTGAAGAACCATCAGGACGCCATCTACCAGAACCAGTGCCAGTCTCTGTGCCTGCCCATGGCGGACAGTCGGGAGCGCATTCGAGGACCGTCGCGCGATGGCCGCGAGTTTCTGACCAGCCCGCGTCAGGTGCTGCGCCGTCTGATGCTGCTGTCGGAGGGGCGCCAATATCGCGAGGCGGCGGGCGTGGTGGGTCGCTTGGGTCCCTCGGTGCTGCACTCGGTGATCGCGGAGCTGCCCATTGACTTGCTGCTGGAGCATCTGCCACACAGCGCCTATTTGCTGGAGTCTTTCTACACGAGGTAAGACGCAGCGTCTCGGGCTGTCCATGCAACTGCCCTCTACCTCTCTCCCTCTCTCTCGTTCTCTTCCATAGGCTGACCACGCTGAACAGCACGCCCAAGCCGGACGTGCCCAGCGAGACCGTGGTGTGGCAGCTCGTGCGTCTCTTTGCCAATCCACATGAGTCTGGGCTGCGGCAGCGCTGCTCCAAGCTGATGCAGGCCTTGGCCCAGTATGAGCCCGCCCTGCGGCAGGCGCTGCGCGAACGTCGACGCAGCTTCGACAATGCCGTGCAGGGCTTGGGCGTGCATGGACTGACCACAGATGCCTCCGGGCAGCTGATATCGTTGCACGTGGCGCTGAAGACGGAGCTGCAGCGGCACGTGGACACCTACAAGATGGCCATACACAAGCTGGAGGAGCTGAGCATGGTCACGATCAATCAGGATCCGGCACACTCCTCCCATCAGCGCCTGCTGGCCATCAACTATGGCGACATCCAGCAGCGACTGATCGACAACAAGACCCTGCTGACCATGCTGGACAAGCCGGCGCTGAAGCAGCTCTACACGCTCGTCGAGAATCTGAGCACGCGCGTCGAGAACGACAAGGAAGTGTTGTCCTGTGTGGGTCAGGTGAAGCGCCTGGATGCCCAGGCGCACATCGAGAAGCGCCCTGCCGCCGGCCTGCTGATGAACTTCTCGCGCGGCTGCGAGGTGGTGCTCCACATGATGGGCCCAGAGAGTGTGCCGCCCAGTCCGCTGGCGGCCAACAAAACCACAGCCGCTGGCAGCGCCGGCGGCAGCAGCTGCAGCGATGGCTACCACTCGGACGACTCGGCCAGCGAGGATGGCAGGTAAGTCGCCCAGCTCAGCCCAGCTCAGCTGGCGCACCTGCTTAAGCTTGTTGCTGTTTTCTCTGCTCGAAATGGTTCTTGACATAATTTCTTTGTGCGCGCACCCACGCGCACTCATCTGCCTGCTGCCTGCTGCCTACGCTCTCATCTGAAACTTCTTTCCACAGCGAATTGGTGTCACACTATCGAAATCTCTACATCGAGAATCGAGCAGACGCCCTGGAGGCGTTGGATAGCTTGCCCCAGCTCAAGCACGTGCACAGTCTGAAGGCCAAGATACTCTTCTCCATGATTGTGGTAAGTGAAGAATTTAATCAGAAATTTCATTTCTCAACATTTTTGCTGTCTCTGAACAGCTGAAGCCAGTTAAATGTATTATTTAGCAGAAGTTCAAGCTTAGTATGAGTTGGAAAGTGATATTATTAGAACTTTAAAAGTTTCTTTTTTTAACGAAAAAAGATTTTTTTTAAAATTATTTTTTAGCTCTAAATAAAACAAAATCTAAAGAGTTTAAAGAGTTTTTTGCTTAAATAATAAAGTTTTTCATATATGCAAATTTTTAAAATAATTATAAATATTTATATATTTTATTATAATGCTAAATATATTCTTAATATAATTAAGAGCTTCAAGAACTGAATAACTAATCAATTTGTATATGGCAAAGAAAAGTGGTTAAAGAGGAATCTGTTGGCTAATGCTTTGCTAGACTCTTAGCAAAAAACGTTTTATTTATAATAAAATTATACAATTTATTTTATATATCTTTTTCTATAAAAAAGATATTTATATTTATAATAAAATATTTATTATTATTTATAATAAAATTATACATTTTTTTTTTAAATTTTTCTATAAAAAAGATATATAAAAATGTTTTATTTATAATAAAATTATACAATTTATTTTATATATCTTTTTCTTTAAAAAAAAATATATAAAATAAATTGTATAAATTTATTATTTCTATAAAAAAGATATATAAAATAAATTGTATAATTTTATTGTAAATAAAACGTTCTTGGCTTAGATCAATATATCAGAGAAATGATTTATGTGAAATGTAAATAAGCAACGACTGAGAACTAAGCAGATTTGGAGCCGTAAGAAATTGAAAATAGAAATCGTTAATCAAATTTGAATGGTCGAAGAAATACTTCATTAAGTGCGAGTAAATTAAGAAATATTTAATATTTGAAATATTTACAGTTTTTAAAAGCTAAAATGCAGTTTTTTTATCAGTTAATTTTAATTAAATTAAATTGTAAAATAGTTTGAAGAGTTTTAGGAGCTGAAAAGTTAGTTCAAGATTGAGTTAGAGATATAAAAAAGTGGCTGCAAATTGTTATTGCAAAATATCAATTTGCAACGCAACGCTGCAAGCTTGGCGTGGCAGCTGCTCGAGTTTGGTGGCACTGATTAAGTGTTATAGAAGAAAGTAAAGCGCCGCGGGGCTGAGAAATTACGTTGCCGATTGAGCTTGCTTTTGGCGGCTGTCGATAAATAACTTTCGATCTTCGGCGCTGAATAGAGACAAGTGGTTAGATGGATGAATGACACCGGCAATTGGCCGGATCAGCTGGTCTGGGCCGGTCTTTGGCCGTGGGCAGCTATTGAACCATCGGTAATGATTGGCATATTTTGAAACCTTCTTTTTCTTCTTGTCTTTCTTTCGTTTTCTCATATTTTGTGCAGCTTTCTTTTCGCCTGTGCCACGGCATGCGGGAGCGCAAGGTGCTAGAGGTGCGCCGCGTGCTCAACTGCCCGCTGGATAGCAGCAGCGAGACGACCCTGGCCCTGGACCGCTCGGTGCGCCATCATCTGCACGAGACAACCGACAGCTTTCCGCTGGGCGAGATCGAACGCTCCGTTTTCAACCAGGTGCTGTCCACGCTGCACGAGTATCCCTGCCTGGAATCCTGTCCGCCGCTGACGCACTTCGTCAGCGCCTGTGTGCGACTGGCCTGGCGCATGATCAACCAGAAGGCGCCCTACTATCTGGACACTGATTTCAATCTGGGTAAGCTATATATATCTCAGCAGATTTATTGATGATATTTATTAATGCTCGCCTGGCTCTTTAGGCTTTCTGCGCCCCGAGAAGCACGAGCGTCATCCGCAGTCGGATCGTCGCTCGGACCTGATCAAGGCCTTCCTCTGGCCCGCTCTGATGCAGAACAACCAGTGCGCCTTCAAAGCAGTCGTGGCCACCTAGTTGCCCACTTAGCTGCTTAACTAGCTTAAGTTACGCAATTTGTACATAATTTATCTTACTCATAATTCCAATAAACATAACCTAAACTCTAAGCATTAGATGTAGATCTTTAGGCTAGGCGTAGCTGATGGGCTTCAGGCGCACGCTGTGACTGCGCTCCTTGTTGGTGCAGAGGAGCGCGTGCTCCGCATAGAACTCGATGATCTCGCAGGGCGAGCTGAAGTGCCGCTCATGCTGCTTCCACTGGCCAATGGCGAAACGCTGGCGTCCATCAATCTGGCGCACGAACAGATGGTAATACTGACCGGCCGCCCAGATGCTAACTATGTACTTGATGCACACGTCCGTCGCCTTGAAGGGACGCACCAAACAGGCGCCATCCTCACGCTCGCAGAGCATGCGCTCAGCCATGCTGCGATCCACGGTAAAGTAATACAGCTCCGTCTCGATCTGACGCTGCTCGATCTCCACATAGTTGGCATCAGCATCATCTGTGTTTGTATAGATGTGTGAGTGGCAGCAGCAAACAGCTTTGCGTTTAAATTTATAATATTCTAAATCTGTTTAAGCAGTTGAGTCTATGCAATGGCAATTGCAAAAGAATTTTTTAATGAGAATTCTTTTTCTTTTATGGTATGGTGAACAGTAGCAGCATTTGCCGGCTTTAAATAGATCTTTCCCCAATATTATATACCTATTCGGCGACATCAGTCCAAAGTTGCTTAGCTTTCTTAACTGCATTAACTTTACCCTTTTAGCTACAGCCAAGCAAAGCTTAAGCTTGCATAACTCCAAAGAAAAGCCGAAAATTGTTTGTTTTTTATCTCTAGTCTAAATTCAACCATTTCTACTCTTACTATTGCTTCTTCAACTCTAGAAGCAACAAATATTTAATCTTCAGCTTGTCCATAAATTTAGCTAAACCAAGAACTCTTCCACTTTTCTTAGCTACCAAAGTTCGAGTCAACTGTTATAATCATTCTACAGAAAATAGTTAATATGGAACAAAGAAAGTTCTAACTATAATCACATATGTAGGTTTAATCTGCAAGTGTCTTAACAGCTCGACATGCCGAAGATAACAAACTTTATTATCAAAATATTGCGCTCAGAACTCACCCACTATGACATAATCGTGTGGTGCTCGCCGTGGATCGTCATCGACGATCGATTCTGAAACTTGTTTGTCCGCAGCGCTGTCGACGTCAGCGTCGCCGTCGTCGTCGCCGGGCTGGCGCCTGTAGCCGCCACAGCAGACACAGCAGCTCCGTGGATAGCCAGCGGCGCAGCTGCGATCCGTGAGGCTGTTGTAGAAGCGCGCGAACAGATTCTGCAGAACCGTCCAATAGACACGTGCGCACCAGCACATGGCGAACTCAACGGCTGAATGGAAAGGCGCCAATCTCTGCTTAGCTCAATTTGATTTCTGGTTCTACGCCGCTGCCGTTGCCGCTGCGCCACATCTTCGCGAAGTCTGAGCAAAGACTGAACCACAGTGCCTGCGCCCAGAGCGGCAGTGTCTGGACTACTGCCAGAGTGCCTATTAATTAATATGTGCTTAATGCGCAGCTCAGCAGACGGAACTATGTGTGTGTGTGAGAGTGTGTGTGTGTGATGTATGTATATATAAAATGACTATATAGATATGATATATTAACAACAATATTTATTTACCCTATAAAGTGTTTAATCAAAGAAAGTGTTTTAAGTGTTAAGCAAAATCAATCAAATATTATTTTAAAAATCTTAGATCTGAGCGGACCTATTGAACTCAAACAAATCTTGACAAACTTAATATATATACTAGAAAACAAGTAGAATCTTCAAATTTAATAAATCTGCTAATTTCTTTGAAGGCCTTTATCTAGGGTAACTGCTAGTCCGTCAACACAGTCTATGTCATGCTCGCATTTTCTGTTGAGGGAAGCATTAAAGTTGGGCTCTCGTCGTTGCTATTTTTTATTGCTGGTAACCCGATATGACAGTTGTCACAGTGTTTGCCAGCGCAGCCAAGTGCAGATCGTGTCACTTGGTTCGACTCGGTCGCAGCGCATTCCCACAACCAAACACAATTTGTAAACAATCTCGCCATGTGTGCTTAAAGGCAGCTCCCGAAACAACACATGCGCCATGCTCCCCAGCCCCAACCTAAGCCGCACCCCAACTATTGCCCACAACGAGTTACTCATGGCAATTTTCTGTTTGGTTCTGCTACTCAATGGCATTCATTGAACGTGCAGCTCTCCTAGTAGTGCCAGATCCCAAGTGATATTGTTTCCGTTTACATGTTCAGGTTTCTGCAGAGTGCAGACATGCTGGAGCCAAGTGGCTGGCATGTGGCGCACAATTAAAAACTCAGTGAATATGTCAACAAAATTGTTTAATTTATATATTTAAAGGATACAATTAAATAAGAACCACAAATAAGCTTATCTTTTTAATACATGTTACTGAATATGTGAAAAAGAAACTTACTTAAAAAATGATTATTTATTACTTATCAATATTAATATTTTTATAATTTTAACACTACACAAACAATTTAGCTTGCAACTCTTATACTGCTTATAATATATTTTTAGCAGAGCCACGAACCTGCTGCTACAAGGTTGTCGTTTAACGACGAGTGCACAAGCTTAACGAATGCAAAGCACAATCAAGGGCAAGAACCTTAAGCACGTTTAGCAGAGCTTATGCTTATACAAGTATAAGAGTAACACAAATACAGCATGGACACACACCTTTAGTGCAGCCCTGTACGGCTGTGTAAATAGCTAATAAAATTTAAAATAGTTGACGTTCAAAATTAAAAATTCTTAAAAAATATTTGAAATTTATAAAAAGTTTAATTTGGGGATTACATATATAAGTAAAGCAAGTTTCCTCTTTAGCAAACATAAAGTTTAGGCTAAGGTATTATCAACAAAACAACAACAACCTGCGTGAAGGCACATCACGTGCGTCAAATGTCAATTAAATGATTTATCAATGTAGTATTAATAACAATGCGATATAATATGATCGCGAACAGTAGCAGTTGCGACGCTGTCAATTAATATGCGACCAACAATTTTGATTGAACCGCTAACAAGCTGGGGCCATCGACTGCCGCGGTCAACGCCGGCGTCGACAGCGATCATAAAGCAACAAAATCGCACAAATTGATTTTGGCCATTTGCAGAGTCGTTTGATTGAGCTACGTACCGGGCTAGGCGTTGCGTGGCGGCCAGCCCCAGGGTCTGCCCGGCATGAGGGCAATGTCAGTCAAGGTGGCGCCGCAGTTCAAATCGATCTGAGGCAACACTTATATTGTGGTGCGGCAGCAGGCGGCTCCCGTTGGATCTGAATGGGTTGCCCATTAATTTCAATCAGTCAACCAAGTGTCGATGCTGATTGAAAACGCCGACAGACTTATTTATGTACGCATCTCGATGTCAAAGAACTGTCACAAAATAAACGCATTTATGGCTCAATTATGCGACAGTTCTCAATGTCCCCAAAATTTACAGTGGCTCGCAAGTCAAAAATAAACACGGCGTATGCTTAATATTAGCACACACAATAAACATTAACATGCACAGATTTGTTATTGTGCTCGTCGCTTCTGCTTGTCTTCTATGCCGTATGCAAACTACAAATGACAGCAGCTCGCAACGAGGCAGCCATAGAAATGAACGTCCAGAACTCACCACGCGCACACACACACATGCACACATACATTTACATTTACTGAGTGCACTATTCAACATGCATCGAAGGTAACGACTGCGACTGGATTCGGGTTCGGGTTCGTGTTCGCTTGCGGGATTGTTATGGGCTCTGCTCGCCTGCTGCCGAATCCAGTCGATTACGCGTCGTGTCGCAGTCGCTGGCAGCGTTATCGCATTTGCTATCCGGCAGTGGCAGCGGCAGCGACAGCGACAGCGACTGCGACGTCGTATCCCAGCAAATTGTTTGCGCATTTTGCCAGCGAGCGTTGGGCAGCGCGGATGAATTTCGCACCAGGCGCGAATAAATCATAATAAAAAAACCCAATAAAAATATAAAATAACAAAATAATATTAGCTCAACTTCAAGCAGCGGCTCATCATAAAAATTCAGATCCCGATTGCGAATCAGACAAAATTCACAACAATAATTTGTCAATGAAACGCGATCCGAAAAGTTTTCCATCAAATCTTATAGCCGTATCAATCGCCGAGTGTCAATTAAATTAGCGCGCCAATATCGAGCGAGCTTCGAAGCCAAAGCCAAAGCCAGGCGCAACAGGTGCCGCTCTCCCGCTCTGCGTGTGCGTGCGTGCGTGAGTGCGTGAGTGTGTGTGCAGGTGTGTGAAACGCCATTTTTTAAGTCAAGTGAAAACCAGCTCTAAATTGTTTTTCATATAAAAAAGTGAAAGGTGGGCAAAAAGTGCATCAAATTGTTCGTTGATCATTTATGAATGAGCAAGGAAAATAAAGTTAGAAAACTTTAAGCAGGTAAAAATTCTGAAATTTACAAACAGTTACAAATACGAATAAGAAAATGAAGAATGAGAATGTTTTGAAATGTGAAATTTTGCAGTCGAAAATGTTGTGCACTTCAAAGTGTAGTATAAAGTGTGTAGCTATAACTGTTTATATATATAATTAATAAATATATTACATATATATTTTATACATGCACTCATACAATCCAATGACCCAAAGTTATTTTACTTTACAAAACTTTATTCAGTCAAATGTTTGTCGTTTATTTGAACAAATAATTTGAGCGTTTTTATGACTGAATATAATATATATATAATAAATATACACACACATATATATATATGAATTTCTTGGAAAACACTTGAGACTTTTAGCTGGCTTCAGCCAGCTTCATCTCAATTCTCGGCAGGCAATTCCAATTATAATTAATACATTTAAGACTTTAAACAAATTTAAGCTTGAGCTTGATTTTAGTCTAGCTCTCGCTTCCACTGTTTGCCAGCTCAATGACTTTGAGTTTGGCCAATAAAAGCGAAAATCCATATGAAATTTTGTATGCTGAGCAGGGTGTTAATATTTGAATACATGGAACATATGCGCTGTCCAAAAACAGTGAGAAAATCAATAAAACTCGTACAACTTGGCTGTAGAATGTGTTTTATGCTCACAGTTTATATAAATACACACACAGGTGTATGTGGCTATGTGTGTATATAGGTATATTCTAATATAAATATTTATATGGCTCTCGGTTCGCTTTTCGCTGACCTGTTGCATGACGAGGTGTGCGTGTGGCTGCCCTTATGGTTAGCTGATATTTTATAAATTAATTATGTTGCCCGCTAATTGGCTCTTCCGTCCGGGGCACTCAGCGCGTGCTGTTGTTGTTTTAGCATTCGAAAAGAAAACAACTGAAAACTAAATCTACTCACGAGCCGCTCATCTGAACGAATCGATGTTCACCTGTTGCAGCCAAGGCCAAGTGGCAGCAGCTGCACGTGGCGCATGCAGCACAACAACAAAATGGGAAAATTAGGAAAAGCTAGGCAAATTGAGACATGCCATTGGCAAAACGAATTGCCGCCCGCTGCTCATGAATTATGGCAAAAGCATTCGCATTACTCGGAACAAATCGGGCATTACATTGTCGGGCCACAAAATCATCTTGAAAGCGGCTGCCGTTCAGTTTATCTATCCATATATCTGATCAACAGATGCACTCGCTGCCCTCTAACCGCAATTCGCATGAATTCGCAAATGCATGGCGCAGGGGTGGGAGGTGTGGCAGGCAGATTGGCTCTCAGGAGGTAGGACGGGCGCGACGATTGGTGGGAATCGTTGCAATCGTCTTTTGTTGATTGCGCCTTTGTGTATAAATTAATTAAATTAAAAGTTTCCGGTTAAGCCTCCAAATGCCTCAATGCGAGCTGCACATGCAGCCGAGCACATGCAGCACGGGGACAGCGCGCGCGAGTGAGAGAGAGAAGGAAAGAGAGTGAGAGAGGGAGAGGGTTAAGTAGCCAAGCTGCTTTGCAGATACAATTTAACATTTTGCATTTGCTGCAGGGCGCATAAACTATATATGCATATATTATTCATATTTACAGATATATAAATTAATATATATATCTTAAAAATTTCATTTATCTGTTTATAAGCAATAAATATATAAATATGTTTATAGATAATTTAAATTAGATTTTTATGTTTAAGAAAACTTTGATATTCTTTTATACAGTTCTCTACAGACTTCGATAGTTCAATTCGATTGCTTTATGAATGCATAGACCTTGATTTGCCAGGATTCACTTCACAACTTGCTCAGAGTTGCCTGAAGAAAATGTTGGCTAAGTATAATTTTATCAGCAATGATTTTGCGCTTTATTAATTTATCGAATAAGTATGCTAAAAATAATGATGTAATTGTGAGTAACTTTTGAGTCAAAACATTTGTTTATTTTATCTTAAAGTCGCTTATGTTCACTGAATACAAATGAAATTTATTATTAATTATGTACGGAAATGCGAATGATCTGTTTGATTGCACGCCATCAACATCAAAGGCTTGACTTGGAATATATAATATGTATTTAAAGTCAATTAAGATTTTGCCATGCTGCTCGCTTGATTTGTTTGCCAAGGCAAAGCAATAAAATCGTTTTAAGATATTTATTTGGGCACGCATTGCCTGCCTCTCCGCCTTCCTTTTCCACTCTTTGCCAATGGCTTCTTCTTCAAATGCTCAGCTGATTTTCAGTGATTTAAAGCCCTTCAGCGTGCGCAACGGTGCGAATGCGCAACGTTGAATATGTTACACATACGCCGCGTAAATATCAATGTTTTTGGCAAAAGGCGAATCGATTGCGTACAAGTTGGAAAATGTGATTTTGCGATTTGTTTGCACTTTGTGAGTGGCTGCCAAAAGCAAAGCAAGCGAAGTGGACAAATCTGATTTGTGTGCGATTATTTGAATTAAAAGTAAGTCACGAATGCGTAAACAGTCGACGCTTTTAGCATCTTCACCCCTACGCAAACAACAGGAAGCCGAAAAAAAATGATTATGAACGAAATATATATAATATATAAATATATATATATATATATATAATTATGTATATGTCGTCAGGTTGAGCGCCAAGTTTAATTAACATTCAATTAGAAAATAAACACGACGCTAATTACTACTGCAAATTGGAGCGCGGCTATGAATCAACGAGCGTCTGAAATTGTCGCAGATTTATCTGTGAGCGAGCCACGCCCCAACTATGCAGCATAAAGCTGCCCTCGCCAGAGCCGCCCCCACCCCAAACACATTCCTGCACATGCAATTAATGTGCAGTTGACCTTGATGTTAACTAAAGAGCCAGTGTCAATATTTTGACAGGCCGCACAGTTGACCCCTGGGATGGAGGCGGGAGATGGGAGATGGGAGTGAGAGTGAGAGTGGGCGTTATGATGGATATGCGAGCGACGCGTCGCAAATCCCCATGGATCACATTTTACTGTCCATCGCGCAATTCGTATTGTTGTTGCGTGGGCGTTAGCGAGCGCGTGGGCGTGGCTCAGCTAATGTTGACATCACTTGGCCATTTAATGGCACCCTTTATGGGCACTTTAACAGTGCCTGCAACACGGCTCGCATGTGGCCTGTGGCCGAGACATCAAGTCGCATCGCGGCCCTGTTAAATGCCACTCTTAAGCTGACCCCAGACACACACTTGCACGCACACCCACACACACACACACTCACTCAGAGTTGCGACCTTTGCACTGCTCTTAAAGGAAATGCTCTAAAAGCTGGAACTGAAACTGAAATTAGTTTTATTTAACAGCTCCTCAGAGGGTGGCAGAAACCTTTGAGTGCACTTTAAGGTGTTACTTAAATGTTTATTTGTTTTGTTTATTTGCTTATTATTGCTTTGAATATGGATGAAACGAGCCAATATGGCAGACACTGCTAATTCGATTCGATAAAAACTCCGAAGTGCTAACAGAGGAGTATATAGAGTGTAAACGTTCAGCCTTTTATGAGCTCATGTGCGATATTTATGTACGAAAACTGAGTTAAGAGAAGTCAAGTGATATGCGAATGGGTTAAAAGTTGAAGAATTTGTTAAGAATATCTTCTATGTCAAATTAAGTAGCTGACATAAGCTAAGAACCCTGCTCATAAATGTGGCTAGAAATCTGTCTGTGAGACTAACTATAAACAGGAGTGCAAAGGCCACTTTATGGATGCTATAACAAACAAAGCTTGCTCCATTTGCCAGTTGAAACTATTCACATTTTTATTGTTATTTACAATTTATGCCTGCTCATAGTCCCTGAAGTATTCCCAGACACTTTATGAGCTGCGGTCAAAGAGCCTGTTGCACGAAATCTCAATAAACAAAGAACATAGAGAAAGAGAGAACATATCATGACATATGTGAGCCTCTGTTGACTGAACTCTGAGAAATTGAAACATATTTTTACTATGTTATGAGCAGGCATTTATGATTCATTTAAAATTTATGCAATGTCAACTTATATTGATATATATATATATATGGCAAACAGAAGTTATCGTTGCTCATCAAAAGTAAGGCCAATTACATTTGTGCTCGCAGCAGCTGCTGTTTCTAGGGGCGCATTCCCTATTGGCACGCGCAATTGCATTAAATTTGCATTGATCACAAGTGGAATAGGAGCAGGCACCAGCAAACACCAAGCACCACACACCACATAGCAACCACCCACACGATACACTCATAACTTTCCATTTGCCTGAGCCTGTTATAAACTTTCATAATATGCAATAGACGGCGATGCAGCAAAGCGAATGGGATTAGAGTCTCCACATGAATGAAAGAGTCTCTCTCTCTCTCTCTCTCTCTCTCTCTCTCTCTCTCTCTGTGTGTGTGTCTGTGCTAGCTAAAGTGGATTAGTTTGTATGGCAAATTGTGTCTGCAGTTCCCATGCTAAGTTCTTATTAAGATATTACAAAAATAAACAGCGGGCAGAGGCGAGAGGCTTGAACTTTGAGGGACCTTGAGGCATGTCAACGGCGCATCATCGTCGGGCAGCCAGTTTTTGGCAGCTGCCCCACCGCTGCACGTGGTGCCTCGGGCTCGGACTCAATGTGCTGTGGCAAATGTGACATTAAGCGAGCTCAGTGCACACGTTGCACATTAATTTTATTCGAGATAATTGCTGTCACACGGTCACTCGCTCAAACGGCCAATCGCTCAATCTGCCAATCAGTCAAGCTGTCAATCAGTCAATCATGCTCAACTGATTCACTCTGTCTGCTGGCATAATTAATGAGCGCGCTCATAATTATGTGCGTTTGATTGATGCCAGACGAAGCAGCGCCCCACCGGGTAGCTATGGCTACAGGTAGCGCTCGATATGACAGCCACACATGTGTTAATTTTGCTTTTCACATAGCGCAATCTATCACATTATTGATTTATTCAATTAAAGCCACTTGCAGCTAATCGATGACTCAGCCCAGCCCCAGCCCCAGC